AATTTTTCAAGATCTTCAAATCTACATTACAACGTATACTTACAGTTACCAACCTTTTCTGCGTCATCGTTCACTTTCACACGGAAAGGATTTCCACTGCCCACCTACATAATAAATGCTCAAAAGCATACCAAAATTGCTTGCTAAAAGTTTGTTACTAGTTCGTAAACTAACTTTATGTTGTAATAAAAAATATCAAAGGGAGGTTACAAATAACGCTGACTTGTGCTGTGGTTGCTGCTACTACCTTATTAAAGAACAAACAAAAGCAAAATTGACAATTGAAAACTATATATATATAATTTAGTTTTAAGGTCAAGTTTACTTTTATGATGAGGTTAGTGTTACAAGTGTTGAAAAAATTAAACAAACAATATGCACTATGTGAATAACCCTTCTCAAAACTACAGAAAATATCAAAATACCCTATGTTTGCGGGGATATTTATATCTTATGTGGGAATTTGACCCAACTATTTTCATTTAGCGTCTTGTTCTGTTTTTTTATTTCTTTTGCTTTGTATTTTGTTTTTGTTTTGTTTCTTTTTATAGAAGGCCTTTGCATATCACCTGTGAATATTTTTTCAGTGGGCATATGTTGAAATACGTATTTAATACTCAAAATCCTATAACCCTCTCCAAAATTTTTAATCGCCCACCGTTTTCTGTTCAGTGACTCATCGCCCACCCAAATGATGATATCCCCCATGTTGGGAAACCCTAATCTACAGGAATTGCTATGCAAATAAGACAACATATTCTCCCTTTGTTGTCTTTGAGCACGATGTGTGGGCGCTTAGATATTATTATTATTATTTTATCATTATCATACTTATTATGAAACCCAGTTTGTGTGTGTGTGTGTGTGTGTGTGTGTGTGTGTGTGTGTGTGTGTGTGTGCGTTTATATATTGGACCGGATTTCCTACATTTTTCAACCGATTTCACAGGACTACGTAAAATTACGTTGCGGTGGTTCTGACAGCGCCAAAAATTGGAAAATCACAATTGTTTTTGCACGAAATCAATTTGAAAACACGGGAATGAAAGGGGGACAACTCATATCGAGTTATACTTATTATAAAACCCAGCTTGTGTGTGTGTTCGTTTATATATGGGATCGGATTTCCTACATTTTTCAACCGATTTTAACAAAACTTCACATTTTTTTTGGCAGGTAGTGTTTCTTATTGTCTTGCACACTTTTTTCTTTATTTTTACATTCAGAATGCTTTAAAAATTCCATTTACAAGACAATTGTTTATAATAAAATTCTATTACGATTGAAAACAATGTTTTTGTTTGAGTTTGGGTTTGACCAATTCGTAAAAAAAAATAACTAATTAAGACATGTGTGTCCGTCAACCTTAAACAATAATCTTTGTAAATTTTATTTTTCAGTCTTTATGATGGTCGATACTTGATCTATCTCTTACTGTTACATCCCCTACTGCTAGTCAATAATAAAATACATCTGTTCATTTTTCTTAAATCATAAAATAAGTGAACAAATTTTTTTTATTTATTTATTTATTATTTATTTATTCATTTATTATTTTTATTATTGTTAAACTCTTGATAATAAGCACTATAATTACAAATAACGCTTGCCTGAAATATATTATATTGCAAAGTTGAAAGTTTTTGGCGAAATACAATCTTTGTTTCATATATGCATTTGAAGAGGCCTGTTAGAAACAATCAAGCAAAACTATCAAAGAATGTAGACATAAGAAAGCTGAAAGACAGGGAAACATTAGATTCTTTTCAAACATTGTGTGTCTTAAAACTTTTATCTCTTGATGTGGGTAATGTGATTGAATCAGCATAGCCTGGCTTACAAAAAGGCAAGTAAACACTTAGGTATGTTTAACGAAAACATCAAGACTAGTGTGATTCAAACGATCCTGAAATTAAATCTCTTCTTGAAAACATGCATAAATGTCATCAAGTCTGAATGGCAGACAAAGCATGTCTATCAAAGAAACGGGCCTTTAAATTAGCCAAGGGAAAGTCTCAAGCAAAACTGAAGGAGATAGAGGAGCGCTGGTGGACAGCAAAGGCTAAAGCTTTGCAGGAGGCCTGCTGACAGATGTGATTTCAAATCATTCTACCAAAAGTTGAAGGGAGTTTTGGTCCCATTTCCAGCGGTCTATCAGAGTTTTCGGTCCCATTTCCAGCGGTCTATCAGAGTTCTCGGTCCCATTTCCAGCGGTCTATCAGAGTTTTCGGTCCCATTTCCAGCGGTCTATCAACAGTCTTTTCTTCAGATAACACTCTTTTGACAGACAAAGGCCACATTATAAAACGCTGGACAGAACACTTCTCCACGGTCCTAAATCAAAATTTGTCTGTTTCTGCTGAAGTGATAAACAATCTTCTTCAGAGACTTGTTTTACAAAATCTTTCTAACCGTTCAAACTTCGAGATCAAAAAAGTCATTTAGAATGGAAAATCCGCCGGCGAAGATGGAATTCCAGCTGAAATATACAAATATGGCAGCAATCTTTTGATACGCAAAATTTGTGAATTTTTCAAACTTGTGTGGGAAAGGGAGAAGTGCCACAGCAATATAAGGATGATTCAAGTGACCATTTTTATAAGCGCAAAAGGAACAGATGTGAATGTGACAACCATATAGAAATATCTCTTCTTTTAATTGCTGGCAAAATCCTTGCTCGTATCATCCTGAATAGGCTTAATGAATTTGTTTCAAGATCGGCATTACCAGAAACCCAGTGTGGTTTTCGATCCAGAAGAGGAACCGTAGATATGATCTCTTGTCTCCGACAGGTTAAGAAGAAGCCACGAGAACAAAACAAGGATCTATTTCTTGTTTTTGTAGACTTCACAAAGGGTTTTCATACTGTATCTCGAACTACACTTTAGAAAGTTTTGTCAAAATTAGGTGTTCCAGAAAAATGCTCCATATTATTATCTCCTTTCACTGAACAGTCGGGCGCCTTTTTCGTCTCCAATGGTAAAAAGCAAGGTTGCGTTCTTACTCCTCATCTCTTTGCACTTTGCTTTTCTTCTATGCTTGAAAAAGTAAAGGAGTTAATGTTGAATTCAGAACAAGTGGGGGTCTGTACAATCAGCAACGTTTTAACGCACAATCAACAGCTGGTACGCGATCTTCTCTTTGCAGATGATGCTGCTCTATTAGCACACATTCTAGAAGACATTCAAACTATCCTTGATAAATTCTCTAAAACAGCGAAAGCATTTGGACTCACTATCAACATAGAGAAGACTGGGCCAGCCAGTACCAGGCAATCCATCTCTCACAAATCCTTCTGCATTCATTGATGGTACGGCATTAAAACTGTTGAGGCGTTCACATATATTGGGGCAACAGTTTCTTCTGATGGAAAAATGGACAGAGAAATCCAATTTAGAATAGCCAAAGTCAGCACAGCATTTGGTAACCAATCTTAAACATAGATTATGGAACACCAAAGACGTGTCTCTCAGAGTAAAGTTCGACATATACAGATCAGTCGTTCTCTCAGCCCTTATGGTGCTGAAACTTGGACCCTGTACTGCAAGCTCATAAATCAACTTGACGCCATATGTGATATAAAGTGGGATGAGAAGGTCAAGAATGGTGCAATACTGAAGAAATGTAACATGCACTGAAACCATTCTAACAAAGATACAACTTAGGTGGGTTGGTCATATGCGAATGGATGAGCATAAGCTTACAAAAAAGGTGCTGTATGGACAACTGCCAAACTCCAACCGTTCAGTTGGACGTTCACTCTTACGCTAAAAAAGACAAATTGAAAGACAACTTGAAATGTCTCAAATTTAATCTGAAAACCCGGGAAGCCCAAGCATCAAACCGAAAGGAGTAGCGTAAGACATGTTTCATTAAGTAAAAGGATTTTGAAGACTGAAGCTTCGTTAAGCTCTGAAGCAGAGACACCATCAAAATCCTGCTTTAACAAATTTCATTTGTTAGTGTGGTTTTGTTGCCCGCAACAAGGCTGATCTAGTATCACACTTAAGAAAGTACAAATGAAATATGTCTTTTCCTTACCTGATTTTCTCCACAATAGCCCCTATTAGCATGCATAAGTGTAGAACAAAAGGTACCATCCAAAGCTGACCTTCATTTAACGTTCATGATAGCAGAGTCCACCATATCTTTCTATTCATTTTCTACTATAGTATCACATTTACCAACTGTTGTAAGTATGAAATATGTTAGGGCTAGGGTTAAATGCATTAAACAGTAAACTGGTTATGTATTAAAAATCATTAACAATTTTTTATACAAAAAAATTTTAAAAATCATCATATAGTGATTCTAATGTTTGTAAACTGATTTGATGTCAAAAACAGTAAACAGGTCATCGTTTTTTCTGAGCATTTTCCAGCAATAATGAGTGCATCGTCATTTACGGTAGATCGCAAATTGCTCGGTAGATATCATACCATATTAGCACCGAGACATGGTGTGCCATGATCACCCACGCCCCGAAGAGAGACACGTCAAAAGAAAATAAATTATTCTTCAGAATGACAATCTGTAAAATCGACTCAAGATTTGTCATTGTTATGCTGATAGGATGAACCATGTCTATTTTTATTATGCTACGATCATGGTACTCCACAGTTTCCTATTCTTTAATATGAGGGAATTACCACAAAGAATTAGAATTCAGACCTTTCTTTTCTTTTAGTTACATGGAGAAATGGATTCACGTCTTTCCCAGAGGCATTCGAGCAACCCACACACTCGCTAACATATCTTAATCGGTCCATGAAAGTCCTTTGTTGGACGTAGGCCTTCGTCAGATCTTTCCATCTTTGCCGTTCATGGGGAGGAATGGGCCATTACCCTAACGCGCTGGTTTAATGCATACTGTTTAGCGGCTTACAGCACCTGGTATTCCCAAGCGGTCTACATATTGAACAGGCCCAACGCTGCTTAACTTCTGTGTTTCAACGACCCTATAAATTTACTATCACTAAATAATGCACCGATAAACAATACCGAAATAGATATGGATAGAGAGATAGATATATATGAACAAGCTGATAGATAGATAGATAGATAGATAGATAGATAGATAGATAATGAATTGAATGAGATAGATAGATAGATAGATAGATAGATAGCGTCCTCCGACGTTTAAAAACAGTAAAATCGACCTTGTTAACCAGACGCTCCTCTGTAGCTAAACTGGTATAGCACGTCAGGCTATATGAATGTTCCGTATAGGATACAGGTTCGATTCCTGTTGGAAGACACATATTTTCTATGAAAATTTCTCGAACATTCAGCCGGTAAATGTCGTTAATTCAGTTTATTATAAACAGAGATTTACTTAAATATTTGTATCTATAAAAAGAATGTATAAACATAAAAATGTCTTTGAATAATTGTCGGACTTTTTCCATTTCATAATGTGAAACAAACTTATATAAATACTGTACACATTGGTGAGTTTTAAAGATATTAGTGTGATAAGAAGAATATATTGCGCCAATCTTTCAAGTGTTAGAAAGTTTCCAAGTAGGTATTGGAAACTAAGACATTCATCAGAATTCAGACACACAACCCAGGGTACGCTCTTACAATAGTCGTAAAATGCTACACACATGGACACACACAAAAAAATGTCTATTCCCGGAGGTACAATTCGAGACACATAACGCAACAATTTTTATATGACGCACACATAAAAAGCGACACGAAGATGATCCGGCTAACATGTCGTCTGCTTAGCAACCAAGACCCAACAAAGATTAACCAGTCAGTAAAAGGAATAACCAGGCAAGCGAGTTTTATGTTGGTCATATTTAAAACACAAAACATTTATGGATCGGATCTCGTTTATCGAACCCCCGTGTGTCAAGGTGATGCGGAAGACGGGAAGGGAAAGTGGCGGAAAGCGAGGCGTGTTGGTCGGGGCCCGAGCCATTCGCATGAAATGTGTACATTGCGGGGCATTAGTGTCAATGCTCAATGACAAGCCACTGATTGCGATCGGCTTCAGGTCGACATTTACGGACACGTGGACCTCTGACCGATCCGATCTCCACCCTTCCCTTGCATTCGCGAAACAGCTATATCCTACCGCTAAACCCTCTCTCTCTCTCCACCACCAACGGTCCGAAAACACAGTTTCTAAAATGTCAGGTAGCTTGTCTCAAGGAAATTACCCGGAGAAAATTGTTATGTTTGCATTCACGAACGAACTGAAAGCCTTGGACTTCAATAAACAGGATTACAAGGTGACGAAATTGCACAGAGTGAGATCAAACCAAAAATGAAGTCTTGCTGCCATAGCTGGGCTTGATCTGCTCAATCCCTCCTCCCCACTCTCTCTCTCTTTCTCTCTCTTTCTTTCTCGCTCTCTCTCTTTCTCTCTCTCTCTCTCTCTCTCTCTCTCTCTCTTTCTTCCTCGAAAGCGTTCAAAAGCGTCTACACGGCCTTGAAAATGATGAATTACTTCCCACCCATAACCTCATTCTCCCAGATGCAATATCGCAAGCCTGTAGGTCTATCTATGGAAAATGTTCTATCGTGTTACAATCCCAAGTCGCACCAGTTCAGAGGCTGCCATGCACACAGGTGAGAATCGACTTCATTCCCTTCATCTTCCATTCACCATTATTTGTTAGGGTCTTGTTAGGACCAGGAATAAAGGCACAAAGAGAGGAATTGAGTTAAACAAATATATAACAGTAACAGGAATACAAACATATACAAACGAGAGTGTTACAGCAAGAATGCTCGGTCCGACTGTCAGAGCTGACTGCTGGAAACTTCCCTCTCTCTCCAAAAAGGCAGTACCTGCTCCTATTTATAGCTGGTAGATTCGATGCGTGCGTGGGTAAATTACCATAATATTATTTTAGTTTTTTTTTGTCCGTTGGCTTTCGAGTTTAGTTCTGGGTGAACTTTGATATTAAAAAAAGCCACTCCTATCACATGTGTGCTTTGGGGCGAACAACCAAACAGCGATCAATGAGTCAGAACACCAGAATCCGCCGAATCTTAGCTTGCGCGATTTTCCTCTGTACACCTATTTCAATTTGTTTTTTGTTGTTGTTGTTTTTTGTTGTTTGTTTGTTTGTTTTTTATTTAGGTGGATATCAACTCATCATGGGTCATTTAATGCTGAAATTTAAGAGCATTAGTAATTAATTGGAATTTCGAAAATTCCAATCACCTGAATTAAGCCTGAGCGTACAATGACCGAAACGTTGTGAATATGGCAATGAAGATGAGGATAACAGTTCGAATAACATAAATAATGTAAGTAATCATAATACCTCATCTCAGAGATATAGAGGCCAAAACGTTGTGAATATGGCAATGAAGATGAGGATAACAGTCAGAATAATGTAAATAATGTAAGCTATTCAGTATTATTGTATTTTTTTTTACTTTTTTAGTGATATTCTAACTTTGTCTTGCGGGAAATTTTATATAAAAAAAAATGCTGCACCTATCACCTAAAATGGGCTTTGGGGTAAACAACCAAACAGAGGTCAACGAGTCAGATTTATTGAGTGATCTATTTTTACGGCTTATGATCCTTCTGGAGGTTATTTAAAGCCAGAAATTATTTTTGGATTGTAAGAACTTTCTTTTTTCAGATAATAATAATATTACTGATACAAGTTGTACTAATTAACCAATAACCCAAAAGCGGTGAATTCATGTTTTATCCAAGGGTATTTGCGTGTAATTGAAACTATTCAAACTCGGAATTGGAACTCGGCTCTCCGACTTCCAATTCTGAGTCGTTATCCATTACACCACCCGCACATTCAAGATTACAGCACCTGGTATTACCAAACGGTCCCCTATCTAGATACTGACAATGTTGCTTAACTTCTGTGAATGTTCGAGAGCCGGTGTTTCAATCAGACGACAAAACCTCCATACACATATTTCAATTCCAGTTCATTGTTTAATATACATCTATAAATATATACATAGGTAAAAAAAAAAAAAAGGATTGAGTATATAAAATGTTAAGAGTTGATCCAGTCAGACTTGAAATAAATAAATTATTTTAATGCTGAGTGAAAAATAGAGCGTTCTCTAAATCTACCGGAAACGAAAACAAAAAGTACACTCAGGATCAAAAAGAGGCCGCTAAGATTTCTTGCATACAAAACGAGGAAGGTAGAAAGGCTTGGAAAATTTGACACTCATAGGACATATCGAAGACAAAAATGACATGAGTGGCACGAGTCAACTACTTAGCGAACTTATGGCTGACAGAAAGAGGAGTAGGAAGTATGGTAAAAAAACAAACATTACTAAGATTTGCAAAGGATAGGATGTTGATAAGAACCATTATCGCCCACGTCCTGAATGGATACGGCAGATATCTTTCACATAAATTCATATGATATCAACCTTATTATTTGGCGGTAGACAGGTATTCATAATGAGGAAAGGGGGCAAAGAAAATACCAACAACGTTTTAATGTCAGAGAATCTTCTAGCGATAACAGGATTCGGAATCTAATCGTCCAGTTTGAAAGAACTGGATCAGTCGGCGATCTTCCGGGAAGATAAGATGTGCTAAGACCCTTGGGAAAAGGTATAAATCCTCTTCTTCTCCCTCCAGCTATGGATAAATAGCAGGACAGACCGAGTTCTATAGCCTTGGATGGCAACTGGTCTACCGCAGAAAGAAATGGCAACCTACTGCGGGAAAAAAAATTGCCATGTCAGTCATGTATCAAAAGATACATGATCGCCTAAGCGTGTATCATGCATTGTACATAACTGGCTGACTTTTTTTTTCTGTGAATTATATGTGCATTTCGTGTAGTCTCAAGTGAAGAGGCAAGAAATTTTGTTCTCCCCAGGAATATTGGATTTTGGGTGGTGGAGTCATTGGAGAGGTCAAAGTTCACTGTTGGAGTGATTTGTATCCAGACAGTCGCCTGAGGCGTTGACCCTGGGTCACGGAAGCTAGTGACCAAGAATGAATAAAGGATTGTCTGGTATTGTGTTTCTTGTTTTAAAAAAGTGTTTGTGAAGTGTGAAAAAACTGGTCAGAATTTTCATTATGTTCATTCTTTTACAGGAATGGTATATGTGCATGCCGGAGGGGGGGCATGTGACCGAGGCCCAATGAAGAAAAAATGTAAGAGGTACGACTTCCAGACACGATTTATTTTAGTAATATAGTTAAAATAAAATTCATAAATGAATTTTTTAATGATTAGCTAAGGTATGTTAAATAATAATTTAGCAGACTATTATTTTTAGGGGGAAGTGTATCTCTGCTCTGACGTCCTGAGATTGACCTTTGGGGTCAAATACGGTGGAGTAATGGATAGCGGCTCGGAATAAGGAATCGGAGAGACGAGTTCGAATTCCATTTGAATCCATTACTTTCACTTACGTGCTAATAATACCCTTGGGAGAGGTATGAATCCTCTTCTTCTCCCACTCAGCTATGGGTAAATAGCAGGACAAATCGGGTTCTGTAGCCACGGATGGCAACTGGTCTACTGCAAAAAGAAATGGCAACCTACTGCGGGAAAAAAATCTGCCTCGTCAGTTATGTATCGAAAGATACATGATCGCCTAAGCGTATAACACGCATGGAATATAACTGACTGACTGAAAAGACATAAGCAAGGAAGTCGATTTTGATTGGCCGAGCAGGTGTGAGAACGATAGAGAGATAAAGATTTTCAGTGAGTTGAGTGTATGAAACGGCTCCCCAATGGAGGGTGAGAGCGACATGACAATAAAGACGAGTTGTTTCTGAACCATCGACCAATATAGACGTGTTTCGTTTCGTGAGCGATCCCACTGGCTAATAAGAAGATGTATACGTCGACGTTAATAAACCTGCTAAGTTAAAATTCCCTGTGTTAAGTTGTTTTATCTCTGGAATCAAAACGACTAGCCGCAGAGAGACGAATACAACTTAATTATCAAATTGACACCGTCACCCCCAAGATATCAGCAGAATGTGGGGGTTATACAACAACATCAGGGAGGAATTTCTAGGGCACGTAATAAGGAAAGAGAGCTTGGAAAATCTGATACCCACAGCACGGAATGAAGGCAAAATAGACATGAGAAGCAGCTGTCCACCTTCCTAACGAGTTTATGTGAGTAGATAACGGAACGGTGGCTGGTAGGGATGATAAAAAGACTAAAAGATACAAAGAATAAAATGGCGTTGAGAGCCAGGACCGCCCACGTCCTGAATGGATATGGCAGATATCTTTCACATAAATTCCTATCATATCAACCTTGTATATTGTGCCGAAGTGGAAGGTGAAGATGGTAGCACAAAAAAATACATCGGATGTACTGAGGGCCAGTTCAAGCAGAGGTGGTACAATCACACGTCATCTTTTAGAAATCCGGAGCACGAAACTAGCAAGCTACTATTGGGAATTTAGGGAGAAACATAGCAAAAGTCCAATCATTAAATGGAGCATTTTAAGAAATTTAAAAACTAATATAATAGTCAAGAATACGTGTTGGCTATACCAAGAAAAGCAAGTGGCTATAGCAATATATAAAAACAGCAATGAATTGCTGAACGGAAGGTCAGAGATCATAACCAAATGCAGACATTTTAAGAAGTTCAACTTGAAGATTTTTTAACCTGGTTACAGTCAGAAATTTTTCTCATAACCACCACCCCCCACTCCGGTTTCGGAAATTCTTAAGTTGTTGAGCACCGTGTAGTTGATTTGCTGAACAAACCACCTGAGGAGATCGTAGAGGTCGAAACCACGGTAGTGTGCTCTGGTCAGCTTTCATTCTCTTTAAATTATATATGAGCCTCTTCCTGTAACTATATATATATATATATGTGTGTGTGTGTGTGTGTGTGTGTGTGTGTGTGTGTGTGTGTGTGTGTATTCGTGTTTTTAGGCAGCATATCTTCATTCAAGTATGTTTCGTTGAATAATATAGACATATTGTGTATACTTATTTTTATGGGTGCTGAGACATTAGGTTTATAAGTACAAAAAATTCATACACAGATGTGAATTCAATACCAGGCCACAGCAGTGGTGAGCCAAACTCGGAGAGTTGAGTTAAAGGTAAATAACTGAGACATCCAGAAGAGGCATGGCACGTGGAACTAGAACAATCTACACCACTGGACAAAATAAAGGGTTTGGTTCCAATCAGCTGAAATG